CCGCCGCAAAAATCAACACTCCCTGGAAGGCGTTTATCAGATCGGTGAAGTACCAGATGTATTGCGGACCGCCGACAGCCCATGAGACGACGTCGGCAACCCAGGTAATACCCATCACAATCACCAGCTTCATACATATTCGGCCCAGCGTCGCTCTGAAAGTAGAAATTAACAAAAAAACTTAAATACAAGATGTATAAACAGGATATTTTTTTCAAGAAAATGAGAAATGTTTACTTGGAGAATTTCAAGATAGCGTACTTATAACTATGTTCTATATTTAAAATTCTCGAGAATTTTAAAGATAATATGACGATGATGATGATACAATTAAAGTAAAATGGTCCCTCCTATGATAATAAGGGCAATCGGATGCGACCCCGGCTTCGTTTATTTTACAGAGCTCATGCGTTGTTCAATACAGAAAGAAGTTTTTATAGTATATATTATTTACTTCTTGTTACCTATTTATTATATTAATTAGATGAAATATGAACAAAACAGCGTTGGGTAGAATCCAATCCTACTTTATCTTGAAATTTCACCTTAACATAAGAGAACATAGGTTAAGAATGTGAAGAGGTACGTCTCTGTAATTTCAGTTAAACTATCGGTTAGTACGCACGTGTAAACCAGAGGAGCCGCAGGCACGAAAGATCACGAGTGTGAAATTGATTGTAATAGCCCGGTTGACATTTCGCTATTGTTTACGTTATGATCGTTGTGCTAGCAACGTCGCTGAATGCGATATTACAAGAAATTATTTATCGCGCTATGAGACTCTCTCCCTGACGGTCAATAAAGCAATCGTACGCTTCGCAACATATGACGTGCGTAATGAATGTAAATGGTACGCGATTAATTGACATTGTTTATTTGATATGCGAGACTGCGCTTTGTCTCGTTATAAATAATAGGCGATCAAATAATACGCGATTATAAATTTTCGCTTTCCTCATTGGCGTTTAACTATTGACTTTTCGAGAAGCTCTCTCCCCTTTTCTGTCGGTGTGTACAAAATATGGCTCGATTCGTCCCGCCGATTTCCGTGTCGAAGGGTAGAAAAGCGAAATCCACTATTATTATTCGCGAATTATTGCGGAACAGGCACTAGAAAAGTTTCGCTTATTGTTAGATTATTATTCGTTATTAAACGAGTCATTTGAGCCTCGCGAGCGAAAGCATTCGATGTGCTATGCATCGACATATACATGATTGCTACAAATCCCTCATCCTAAAATTTCACGATTTTTCCCTGATTTCCAGACAAAATTTCATCATTTTCCCTATTTTCAATGATATTTAAATTTTTTTTGTATTTTCTGTCCTGATTTGGAGACCGTCGAATATTTTGTTGAAAGAGCAATTTAACATAGCAATGTAAATTAATGTCGCTGACACTAATTGCATTTAATTGCTAAGTTGATAGTATTTCAAAAGGTGTGAATGTTACGTATATTAAAGCCTCCTTTACAAAGCCAAAAATTTTAATTTTCCATAAAATTTTGCAAAATTCTCTAACTTTTCCTCAATATTTCTCTGATTTCCAGTTTTGTAACAATCCTAATATAATATATGTGTTCCATTACAGGGGAACCCCAAAGTCAAAGCGTTATTAATGCGTCCTGTCAGAATATTAGCGGCCCGTAGCACCGTACAGTCCGTACACCGGGCAGTATCGCAGAATTATGGCGTCGTAATGTCGCTCCGCGTGCAAGCCGGCCAGTGCGGCGTTATCCTGACGCGCCACATCGGTCGCGGCCACCGAGAATTCTATTTTCGTTGGCGTTGCTAATTATTATGAACGGACCGCGTGCAGTCACTCGGCTGTCGCGAGCACGAATTCGTAGAGAGGCCCCGGAGGGGAAATGAACGAGCATCGAAAATAACGTCTGAGAAGAAGAAACTGGAGGGAATGAGAGATAGGAACGATGAGAATGATGTTCAGAATAATTTGGAATCCCGTCTAATTTTTTTTTTTTTTTTTTTTTCGATAAACATGGCTGGAGTTGTCCTCGTGAAGACAATTTGGTAACTCGAGTTGCGAGTGTCGGCGAGCAGACAGAAATTGAAATAGCAGCAGTAAAGACTAAAGCGCGTGATATGTCGTTTCAATTACGAGTCTTATAGCTTTAACAGTGTAGGGTGATGATATCATAAATAAGCGGTGAAAAGATTTAATCAAGAGGGGATCTAAACTAATCTATGCCTTTATTGCTGCCTTGTGTAAAGCCTAAGCATAAACGGAGGAATATGTAGAGCAATTTAAGTAATCGTTCGAGAAAAAAAAAATTTTTCTCGCGTATTTGAATAATTGTAGCAAATTAGGAATCTCACAGATATGAAAAAAGAGAGAATAAAAACAGCCATTTAAGCGCTAAAGATTCAGTTTGACCGTTTAGGACCTTTATTTTCTATTTGTTGCGTATTCACATTACGGTCTTAAAAGATACTTTGTTTAATATCGTTTATAAAAATTATTCTCCATTTTGTATACATATTTGTCGTTAGATTTTCTCGTATTTTTCAGCATTACTTGCGCACAGAATGACATTTTCTTGTTTTTCTCGAAAGAGAACATAATTGGTCGAAATTATAAAATAAGTGACAGAGCCACTGCAGTTAAAGCTTAAGTGCGAAATAATTACAACCTCAGGAGATACGGAGTAAATGCGTCTTGTTTCCATGGTGAGGCGCGAGGGATCCTGTTTTATAAACGAGGTAATATTACGCTTCCGTCGAAGCTTCCGTCAGTAGAAGCGCTACGCGATATTATCTTCGCTGGCGTGTCTGTACGAAAATTTCAGATCACGAGCGAGCGATGTGAATAAACGAGAAAGGTTTCAAAACGTTACCGAATGAATGCGATACGATCGACCATGACAGCTGTCGCGCATCGAACAAAGCGCGACCGGAAGTGGGATGTATCGACTGGACGTGGAAAAGTACGATATAATTTGCACGAGGGTCAATATTACGAGCGCATGGCGAACAACAATAACCGGAGAGAATTCCTACGGGAAGCGGGGAGCGCAGAGTGCGAGTGAACGAGGTGGAGAATAGTCCACACATGGAAGCTCCGTAAATATTGAATCCCGCTGCACTGTTCTGTGCCATTCTGTGCCATTCTGTGCACGGTGGTCCGGGCCGGGTGTAACGCGAGACAATAAGGAGAAGGAACGGGAGAATAAATGAGAGTGCGCGGAAGAGAAACGCGAGAGTTTCAGGAGGCAACGGCCCAACAAAAGACTCGAAGGAAGATGTCCATTATCTAGGATCGAGAAAGCGGGAAAGGGAAACGCGCGATTCGAGCGATTGTCATGCGTGGCTTTTTCCTTTTTGGCTCTCTTCCGGGCAAATAAACCGAATGAAGTCGTTACAAGACTGTACATATGTGAGAAAACTCCATTTTCTCTAATCTCCGAGTCGAAATTTTGCTTCTACTTTGAACCTTAGTTTTAGGACGTATGTAGACTCTAGAGATTTATAATAGGTTCTAATCTAATGAATAAAGCTCCTACGTTGAACCTGTAAATGGCAGTTATTGCAAGATTTCCTATTTTTAGGTTCAAAAGAAGTTTTCTAAATAGAAGCTGTAGATTAAGTAATATTAACAGAGGCCCTATTTGATTGTACAAGTGTCAAAACAGGTTTACACAAGATTTAATTGAGGTTGAAAGAGATTCAAAGTAGGACTAAAATTTCGACTCAGGCATACTCAGTCAAACGGTCGAAAGAACGATTTCATCGAAGTATCTAAAAAATTAGTGAGATACAGATCTGAAAGTAATTTTATTAGATCATCAAAATAATTACGATCGAAACCTAAAACATGACGAGCAATGTTGTAGAAAGTTTTGACATTCTAACAACCAGTTTGAGCATCTTACATTATTATTTCGATGGTTCAACAAAATTATTTTCAGATCTGTTGATCTGTTCGATCGCGATAGACAGAATTACTACGTTTTTTTGCCGTTTATATTACGGACGATCAATTGATGGCTCAAGCATTTTCACACGTTGATCGCAATTTCGCACGTCTTCGAATACGGTTTTTCTACAGCTGTATAAAATATGTGATGAGAACCATTAAAGGAGAATAACGTCGCGTTTCGTGCTAATTATAAAATAAATTACGATAAGCTGTGATTCTGTTGAGATTTCGCGTTTCCACGCATTTATAGCGCGAGTCCACAATGAAGAGGAGCAGGAATCGCGAAGTTATTATCTCGTTTAATCGACGGAGTAAAAACAGTGAATATTGGACGAGTCGCGCGAAAGGACGAGCTAAACTCGGAAGATGAAAGCGACGACGCCAAGAAACGGAGGGGGACGCGGACGAAAAACGATCTGAAATAGACAGCCACGGGAGCGTTCATTCGTGGTTGCAAATAAATGTCAATCTTCGCGGACGGCAAGAATGGCGGAAGGTCCGCGAACTCGACGACGGAGTTAATTGACATGAGTAGATGGCGGGGAGAAATTTGCGCGCCTGCGATGATGACTTGGAAAATATCAAATACAGCTTGATGCGACTAGAAAGGGTCGACGACTTCGAATAAAATTTTAACCACCGCTGCACCGCGTGTTTACTCGTCGTCAGGCGGCTTTCGAAGTTTCTTGACATTCGCGCAGTTAATCATTCATAAGCCATGCGACATACGTTATTTTTAGACGCCACGCGAACGCCTGTGCTTTGCAATCAACGCATACAATTTGCCATAGTACTATAGAATGCAATCATCGGGGGTGCCCTCTCCAAAGAGTCACGGACATATCTTTTTCTTCTAGAATTCCAACCAGGTAATTTGCGACCTACGATATACGTACGGGAATATTATTAAAAAGAAAAAAGGGTAGAAACATAAGCCCGATAAATATGAACGAGTTACGAAGGAAGTGTTCCAGCTGCAATTGCGATATAAAAGTGTGTAATAAAACCTCTTGCCTACGCTTCCGCACTTATAGATCTTGCTCACGATTCCCGGTACTTTCTTCTAAGAAATCCACATCACGGGAGACATGAAAGTACGATATAACGTGAGAAAATCCTTCTTTCCGCGATTTAAGTGCGAAGTCAGGAAGTGGCGGCTTAAGGACGACAGACGCAGAGGTGTAAGTATCGCAGAAATACTGTCTATATAAAGTATATTTATATGATTCTCTCTCTTTCTCTCGTTCCCTACATGAAGACTATTCTCGCGCGGTCATAAGTACAGAAATACTGTCGCGCGTGTTCTCGGACGTGTGGAGCGGGCGTCGGCATAAAATATTTTTTGCTGGTGGAAATCCGCTATCTCGGCTCCGAGGCGAGGAACCGCGGAAACACAGATCTCCACTTTGCGCGACCGCGAGAGGAAAAAGGGTGGCGACGGAGACGTGAGAGTGCATCGGACTTGACGAACTGGATCCGCACGTCGGATGGTACTCGCCCTCTCGACGGTTATTGCGAGTGTTTCGTACCGCATTTATGACCTCCGCGGCCATCGCCGTGTCGTCTTTTGTCAGAAGATAATTCAAGCCGGCTCCTCCTTCCTCCAAATGTCAAATCGGACGTGACGTCCGTATACGTTAACTTGGCGCCACACTATCTGACCAGCCGCGTAGGCAGGCGTACAACGTTTTAAAATGTCAAGATCTTTTTCTTCATAAGTTTTTTTTGCGGACGTATATTACGTACACTGAAAAAAATTTATTAAATCGTAATACATATTTCTTTGAATAGTACTTAAATAAACGTTTATTTACGTTAAATAAATATTCACTCAACAAAAAATATAATAGTTAAATGAATGATTTTTATGTCAAAATAATCAAAATAAATATATTTTTATATTTAGTAAATATTATATTTACTTAGAACTACTCGAGCAAATATTTATTAAAATTTAGTATTTTTTTTTTAAAGTGTATATATTGTGTCTGCACGTGGTAAACAAAAATCGTCACTTCGTTTTAAAAACGGCTGTTAGTACGTTTATAACGTGTTTATATCTAATTTGTATCGTAACAAGCATTTATCGTGTCCGAAACCATTAAAAACACTGACATTTACTTCGTTGTTTATGAGCATATTTTCCTATTCTAATTTTGACGTGCGTATTCGTTGCGTATATTCATGTATATATTTATAATCACAGCTTTTTTCACTGAATGTCTTCATACTTTAAACTGAAATATAACACAAAACATAATATAAAAAATGATAAAAATGATACAACTGCGCACATTTCAGTGGAAGGAATATCCGAGATTATCAGTGATATTTATTTTATTCTATTCCGATGACAAACAAAAGTCACTATAAACTTGGTGTTGAATAAAAAATAATATTGTTATTTTCTCACATAAATACGGTCATGAATGTATGATGTGTTCGTAGATTTTCGCAAGACAATTTATCCACGTCGGGGTGTTCCGGAAACTATGCAAACGTACGTGATGAACGAAATCCGTTCGTTGAAGACACAGAACAAACTCGGGATGAGGTGAAATCTGCATATGCTATTACGTTTCCTTTTGCCAACAATGGCCGTATTGTGTTCGTGTACGTACATCACGGCGGGCAAATAGCGTCGTCGAAATCGCGAATTGGGATCGTCAATATCAATCTCGAATAGAGCGAGAGGATATAAGCGGATCGAAGCGACGTCGAGCGAATGGAAAATAACGATTGCCTGATATCAGTCGGCTGGAAGGTAATAAAATAAACTTCCCTGTGCGTACAAAGTCTGCGCTCTGTAAAAAGAATCCGTTCGCCTGTGCAAATCGGAAAGTACGAGGTGTCAAATACCTTTCGTAAAAAAAGTGAGAAATATTTTGACGTTCCAACGTCGAATCTTTTGTACGCAAGTCATCTGCACCTCAACGTATCAAGTTAAATTATTTTGGTAAACTTGAAATTAAAACTTATTTGTAAAGTAAAAGGTAAAATTTGTAGTCTTCAGGACTGTTGTCACAAATTCCTCATCCCCTAAAATTCCAGATAAAATTTCATAATTTTTCCTAACTTTCAGTAATATTTTAAAATTTTTTGTATTTTCGTCTTAATTTGGAAATCTCTCTCTCTCTCTCTCTCTCTCTCTCTCGTTAAATATTTTGTTGAGAGATCAATTAACATAGCAGTGTAAATTACTATTGTTGCTGACACTGTGTGTGTGTTTGCATTTTTAATTCTTAAGTTGGTAGTATTCCAAAATTGTGTAGATGTGATGAACATGTATCAAATTTCTTTAAAGTCAAGAATTTTTAATTTCCACTGACTGTTTTCATTTCCCTAATTTCCCTAATTTTGTGGCGATCCAGTATTTTTTTTAAGCTATTGTTCACATATTAGAGCTTATATATTCGTATACAAAAATATGAAATCGAAACAAACATTTTGAAACTTCCAAGGATTTTCCTTGGCTTTCGCTACATGTCCTTTCGACCAGTTATCCTTGATAGTCAACGAGCCCAGGCGCCGTCCTTCGGCGTCCAAAATAAAGTCCCGTATTCCCGCGAAAAACAGGAGACCAGGCGTTTCGCCTGGGCCAATAAAACTTGATCGTTTCCAAGGTGTGAGTGTCGTTTCGCAGTCGCTGAAACGATCGGGCGTTCCTCAGCGGCCGTGCGCAACGTCGCGTTTATTATCGTTGCATCGAAGCGTGTCGGAAATGGCCCGTAAATGCGGCTGTTGGCACAATTCCGGGATATTCCTAGAGTTATTGTTGGAGCATCGATATTCTCGCGTGTGCGCGTTATCGATACATTTCGTCTTTTCGCGAAGAGCAAATCGGAGCAATGCACTTCGTCTTCTGCGAAATGGTTCGGGATATTGTGAAAAGTCGCTTCTCGTTTGCGCGCTGTAACGAAACGTTGAATGTTTCCGATAAAACGAGCTTATGATCGAGCTTATGATCGTATTACTTCGACTCGATGTTCTTCGGTATCTTGCTGTTTCGTGCACATGTTTTTGTTTATTTAAACTTGAATTATATGGGAGATTTTCGTACGCCGTGTGCAAGATGTTATATACTATACTGTTAAATCTACACTGAAAAAAAAGATTGACTGCTGCAGCAAATTAGATCGTAAAATATGGCATAGCTTTTTTAATTGGCTGCGGCAGCCAATTTTTGGTTGCGTTAGCCTATCTGCAATGTCAGTATAGGATTTCGATAGACTAACACAACCAAAAATTGACTGCTGCAACCAATTAAAAATGCTATGCCATATTTTACGATCTAATTTGCTGCAGCAGCCAATCTTTTTTTCAGTGTATAGTGTCAAATTTAACTTAACGTGAGTCGCCATTCGCTCCTACTCAATCATTTCGTTATTTTATACTAAAACAATGGTTATATTTGACACTATGCAGTGTCAATTTAATACTATATAGACACTATATTGTGTCAAATTTAATTATCGTTTTGGTAAAAAACAACGATATATTTGGTAGGAGCTGTGGCGGTTCACGTTAGGTTAAATTTGACACTATAGATTTAACAGTGTAGGTAAAATTTTTGCGTGTTCCAAACGGAATTTCTCTGGTGAACGGCCGTTCATTTTTACATGACAAAATATATTGTCTCTTGCACACGTTTAAGTATCACTTCACTTCGATCTTTAAATAGATCAGACAAATTGAATCGATTAACTAGACTCCGCGGAGCGAGCAAATCAATCGGATACGAAGATAAGCAGATCTTCCAGTCCGTGCAAACGAGTTTATCTGCTTTGCGCGGTAGTAAGGTCACGAGACTTTTAACTTTTATTGGTAACGGCCATTTTTTGAAAACTGCAGAAAAACGCGAAGAGAATATTCATCAAGTTTCATCGTGGCTGGAAGGTAAATGTTTGCGCGAGACAGAGGCTGGTTGGCCGATGTCTCGCGTGACGAACGTGCGACATATGTTTACGAATTCCTCTCGATCACGGGAGGAAACTGCGCCGAAGGAATAAACGTTATTATTTTTCACCGTGGAATATGCCGGCGAAAGCCATACCCGTCGACCGCAAGATTGGCGAACGCCTCGAGAACTGGCAATGCCGTTCTGTTGAATTTAGGAGGACCATCAGCTGGTCGATCTCGAGCCATGCTGTCCCGGTTAATCCGACCAGATTGCAGGATGATTCTTCGTTAATCCATCGATAAATCGACTAGTAATACTCGTACATGGATACTGGGAGAGACAATAATGCTCGCGGAAATCAATTAAATTCATGCCTGATCACAACATTTCGAGTTCGCTTTATTTTCTTGTATTTCTCTCTAAAATTTTCAGAGTGAATCTCACTCTGAAGAGTAAAATCTCACTCTTAAAGATTAAAATTCCACTCCAACACTCAAGAAGAGAGTTCAATTAATATTATTATATCTTTCTCTCTAAAATTAATTTCGCTTAATTAATATCGTTTTAGAGTAAAATGTATTCCGTTGGTAAGAGAAAGCATAACGCTGCAAGCATTGTTATATTGCCGTATATTGTACGGAAAGATTAAATTTTGCATTGCAGAGAAATTTATTTATTAGCGTACAATAGCCTTTTATGATATAAAGAATAAATTAATATCCGTACAAAAGAAAAAAAACACTATTATTCCGTACAATTTATCTAATGAAATCCATTATTCATGAATAGAACACACGCAAATGAGCGTGTTCGTTTAAAACAGTCAAAGTTAAAACATGATAAATTATTTCTACGGAAACAATACTGGAAAATGAATGAGCAAGATATATTACGGTTCCTTTTTTTCAATTGCTACGAGGAGAATGTTTACTTACCTCTCGGTAGTGCTTTTCACGAATTCGCCTTTCCAGAGACCGCACGTCAATTCGCGAGCAGTTACAGCGAAAAACATAAGATTTACAGCTAGAAGCACTCCGATTGGTCCAAAGAAATACGCCAGGATTTCCATGTCACCTGCAAGGCAAACAGAACGAATCTAAAATTCTGTAGAAAATGGAAAATCGCAGTCTGCTTAACAATCATATAATACGATTCCATTCATACGTAGTTATGTTATAATAAATAATTTTTACAATTGCTTATTTACCCAGATATAATTTATGTCACGATGATTTGTGAGAAAATAATATGTATTACTTTATCATATTATACTGGGAAAAAAGCCTAGTAATAGTTAGCAAATGTATTTTATTTAGCTATGTATTATATTACTATAATATTTAATAAACATTATTAAACATAATAATAGTAATCAACGTTTGGTATTAATTATATTATTAAACATTTAGGAAAGTAAAATTAGTGTTCAGTTGGTTCAACTAAACGTTAATGTTTTAATTATTGTATATTAATTGAATATTTCATTAAAATTATTTTACTAAAAAAAGCATTTAGTATAATTATTTATTATATATTATATATTGAAAAGAATACTAAACTTTTAATAAATATTTGTTTGAATAGTAAATATTCACTAAATGTAAACATATATTTATTTGATACCAAAACCATTAATTTGATTTAATTATTTTTTATTGAGTAAATATTTATTTACCGTAAGTAAATGTTTACTTACAATTAATATTAATCAAAGAAATATGTATTAAGATTTAGCAAACTTTTTCTTTAGTGTAGCCTTCAAATTTCACGCGCAAACGTGAGGCTACAATTCCTGTAAGTAATAATAATTCTGACGACGCGTTTACGCGATCAAAACGGTAGTAACAGGATTCCTTAGAATTCGTGTTTCACGAGGAACAAACGCCAATTTCTATTTTAACTTTGCTAACGGACCATCGACACGAAATGGTCCTTGCACCTGGATTAATCATATGGCGATTCTCGCCCGTGGGACGACATGGATCGACAGAGCCAAGTTGATATTCCAGATTTTGAGCGGCGCGGCGCAGATATGCGAACGGCGGTGGCTGTTTCGCGTTGCACACACAAACTTCAATAATAAACGGCGCCGATCGACTAAACGACCAGCGGGTTTATCCTCGCGATGCTTAATTTGGCGCATCTCCGGTAATTCCGACAGTGGCGTCTGTTCGAATGATGTGCCATTCGCACCAGAAAAACGCAATAAGATGCGAAAACGTTGATTATTTTCGCGAGTCCTACCCATCAGCGAATCAGGAAATGAAAGTTGATTCTTGACATTTTAACTCTAAGCTACAAATTATCCCGCTCGTATTCATAATTAATTAAAATCACTCGCGTAATTCTCGGAATTATAAAATTCTTATCTATCGATGAGGAAGAGACGCGAAGAGAAAGGCGCGTCTCGGAATGCGGAAGGCGAGTTTTCGTAATGCACGCGAGCGGAAATAGATGGACGGATTTATGACAAACAAATAAATCGTACAGTGTCGACCTGTCGACAGACGCGGGTTTATTTTCTTGTCCGTATCGAAAGGCGGCATGTTACGACGAAAAGAAAATAGGGACGTCGCGCCGGCCGGAAGTTCGTTTTCGAACGAACGTCTGAATGTGCGACGCGTCTCCCTCATTTATTCTTAATTATTTATGACTCCGGGCGCGAGAACGGTAGTTCGCGATCGCAAACGATAATAACCAATGGGGCGAGACGCACTTTGTTTCCGTTATCCAATAATGTCCGATAGCCGATAACTTTGCTGTAGCGTCATTGCACATTTGTCTCTCCCTCTCGCGAATAGCGTTGTTTACGCACTACCCGGCCGCACATATCTCAAGCGATTAAATTTTTTGTTCTTTTCGTAGTGTGTGTGCACCATTTTCAAAAGGGACGTAATTATTCCTCACTCCACAATTGATCGCGGGATTAATCCTTCGTCCGATTTTTAATTAAAAATTGTCGCAAAATAAATATACAAACATTATTATACTTTGTCTTTTTTTACGATTTTATGAGAATTAGATAAAATAACTAAAAAAAAGAAGACAAAATGTTCAGTTTAATATCATTTGAGGAACAGTGATCTCTTGTGGTATACCAGAAATTACATTTGCTTTTGTGTGCTAGGATAGTTTCCAGAATTATTCACATTTATACAAACTCTTGTTGCTAAAAAGTATGCCAAGAATATACAGCTCGCAATCCTTTGAAATGCGTTTCGGAAGCGTGCAAGAGGTAACAATGCCAACAATCGCGATTTTTGTTTTCTCTTGTCGCTTTCGTCTGTTATAATTCTCTCCTCTGTTCGCCTACAAATCCTGCTATTTTTATGAGAGAAAATGTTTTTTGTGAAATTATTAAGAGGTCCTATCGAAACGTTGTATTGTATTTCATGCGATAAGCTGGAGCCAGGTAATCGGGGGATAAAAATAAAGTGAAAAATCCACCCGATTCACGAAGGGAGGTGGGCGAGCGCGTGCGATCGCACGATTGAACATGGTGAATTCTGCACGAGGTTACAACAACGAGGGTATTCCGTTGCGATCACGCGACCGCCATGCCATCATGATCCCGTCGAAATTGCATCCGAGCGCGGGAAAGGGCGGTATGTGTTTAGCAGAAATCATGGTAAATCACGCGGAACGTGCACTTACCCAATCGCGGGTCGGATCGGATCTGATCGGATCGGTTCCCCAGTTCCGAGTCTGGTGCAAGGCTGCGCGATTCCCTGAATTCCTGAGATGTGCACGCGCTGGTACGCATGCACGCTCGGATTTCAAGTTTAAGATAGACATTCTCATCCCGTATCACATGCATCAGTTAAATCCAAATATTTGCAATACGAATTCATATTCTGCTTTACAATATCGTTTTGCGCGAATGTATAATATGTATATATATTATATACCAAGTTCCAGTATACATATAATATATATTTATACTTATATATAATAATATAAGATCAGATGTAAACGCGATAATTTAAAGCAAAGTTAATTCTATTTGACGAAAAAGTGTTCACAAAATTATGATTTTATATAAATAGCATAAAGAATAAATAATGATCTAATAATATTCCATTTTCATACACATTTAATATAGGAAATGAAATATTTCTAAAGTTTAGCATAAAATTTAATTATATTATTTGACTTTATATTACATGACTATATTATTCTATAAAACATGTTTATATTGTATGACTATATTATTCTACAAAACATATAAATAATGCATGGAAAATATATGCAATTACATATGATCTTATAATTGAGTTTATGTAGCTGCGTTGTGCAGAAGATTAATTTACATATTATTATCGTGTTTCCAGTTTATATATGAAATAATAAAATATTATATATATTTACACTTCTCTCTCTCTCTCTCTCTTTCTCTCTCTCTCTCTCTCTCTCTTCCCCACGCAATACAAATCATTAAAATAAATTGATTATAATTTACTGAGCCAGTATTACAATCAATCAAAATGTGACAAAGTTATTACAAAATATTGAACATTATTTACTAAATTACACAAGAATTTTAAACAGTAGTAAAAATAGGATTCATGTGCAAAATCCGCTATTTCGATCTTCGGTAATTTAGTGACCGAAACCCTGGTCGACACTCCGGTCGCTTTTATCGGGGTGATTCGCTCCCTCGCAGCCAACCGGACCCAACGACTCTTCCAACCCCATAACTACGGATGCAATCTGCCAGAAACAGACTTCCACGAGAACTCCTCCCGTAGCCACTTATCGGCTACAGGGAGGCATCCGCGCGTCCGCAAACAAATCCATAAATAAAATACTTAACGGACTAAAAAACTTCGCAAGTGGCAAGTATCGTACACACCCTTCGCAGATATTAAATTGCGACTTGATCCAATAGAGATTTTTTTTTCGAAAACTTTCTCAAGTTACGACAAAAATGTGAAACGAGTGCATGATACCTCGAATTGATCGGGCGCGAGAATCGAGAAATTCTATTATTTTTTCGAGGTTTTTGGATCTCCGCCCAATAGATTCGCGACAGAAATAAAGCGTCGGAGCAACGATCCAAGAAATTCCTGTAAAAGTTGTACCTATGGTATATAAAGATCAAGACAAAGAAATCATTAATATCCTACATTTTTCAGGTGATATCCGTTAAAAAATTCAAACAAAATATTTGTCATGGAGCTCCACACGCTCGCGAGATTAAATCTAATATGATTTAAATGGCGCGCTTAAGCTTCACGGAATTTTACGCTCGATATTTAAGAGGAGGTTTTAACTCTAAAGTTATGTAGCAATGTTGGTTTCATAAAAATAAACTCTGGGTAATCCATTGCATCGTACACAAGTTCACTTCTTTTTGTTTTAGTTCGTTCATTATTATAGTCGGATCAATAGTGATCTGAATCAACGAATAATGATGTTTAAAATTAATAATTTTTACAACTAAATTAAATTTAATTAACAAAATTTTTATTTTAGCAGAGAGAATATAGAAGTTTCTGTGACAACTTTCGATTGACTTCGATTCAATCATACAAGATAGTAATATAACAATCTATTTAAAAATCTATATATCTATAATATTTTAATGTTTAGTTTAATGATATTTATAATATGTCCATTATAAAAATATAAAAATTTACAATAATTTCTCTAAAAATGACAATCGTAACAATTTATTTTTTTTTTATTTAACGAAAATCAAATCATCATTCGCGCCGCGTCGAAAATTTGTTCCATCACGAATTCGTGTCCAAAAATTGTGTACACGATACGCAGTAATGAATAGATGGTGCACACATAAAACAATGTAACGCATATTTTTTTAAATGCATGCGGACATATCGAATCAGCGAACCTTAAACGCTTAACGCAATAAAATGATACGTAAATATCCCCAATGTTTTCCTTATTGATACTTGTTAAAGCATTTTTAGATGAGCGGAAATATACAAAAAACACAAGCAGTGTCGTGCAACTCTAATAAACACAAACAACGGTCGTATAAACACGATGTATGGCTTATATCGGACATAGCAAAATAAAATAAACGTGAAAATTAGACAGGCAGCAAATTG